CTTCTATTGTTCATAACCCTGACAACAACCTTTACATTCGTCAACGTTCTTTGTTCCTCTTACGTCACTAAGCTGTGGGATCATGGACCAAAGACAAAGATATAGCTCTTTTCACATATTCTATAAAGGTCCCAAATACTTGCATTTCTGCGTCATTTTTATTTGTATGTACTTTGTCAATACATACTTACACACTATATTATTGTCAAAATTTGCAAATATATTCATACATATTGATATTATATAGCGCCTTTACATAAAACATGTTTAAAGCGCTTTACATTAGTAAATAAAACAGAATAATTATTTTGCTCTCCAGGTAATACTTACGAACTATTTCGTTTCCCCTATATCATCTTCCACTCTAGAATCCTATCTTGTTTATATTTATTTATTGTGTACTTTTCCTTGTCTCCCTCTCCATTATTCTTCTGTTTTTTTTACTGAAGAGAAAGTTTCATTCTTTCTATTCTTTCTTTTATAATGTTATCCACCTACTTCTAGATGACCGTTTTGTGGTAAAGTATTATGTCCGATGTATATTATTTCCGTCGATATAATGAACGTTTCATTTTATTTTGATGCAACAGAGATTTACATTAACAATCAAAACTTTTACTTTCTATAATTTGTGTACAGTAATATTCATTTTGACATTATCAGCCGCTCGTTCTCTATTTTTGTTCCCTAGTATTTAAGATATATGCTTTCATCATCATCATGTATATGTTATCATAATTTATCTCAAAGAAGGAATGATGCCGGCATACAAGCAAATGGCGGAACAACATTGACATATAGAAAGAGAGAGAGAGAGAGAGAGAGAGAGAGGAAGATAGAAAGTTGGACGTAGTCTGTACTGTATTTATTATTATGCTAGTTGTCTCTCTGATCAATCCCCCCCCCCCCCACCCGTTCCGAATTTTTCTTTAGTTCTTTAAACAAAATATCTTTTCGCTAAGGTATAATGTCCGACCAAGGAGTTATTTCCTTCGTCCGACGTATATTAGTTCTGTCAAAAAAAAGATTGTTTCATATTAATTGTATGCAAAAGAGATGTTTTTATATCCAAACTCTTACTTTTTTAATTATTGTACTGTAATATTCTTCTCATTTCGATATCAGCCGTTAGTTCCGTTTTTTTCTTCTTCATTTTAAAAATATTGTATAATAATTTTTCTCAAAATCAGAAAGAACAATTTCGGTATAAAAACAAATAGCGGAACAGAAAGCAGTACGAGAAAGAAAGACGGAAACTGGCGTTGAGAGAGCGAGCGATCACGAGAGAGAGAAGCAAACATTTCCCCTATCATCTTTTTGTCTGTGACATTTTATTTAATCACATCCTCTTGTTTATTCCTTTATATTTCCATGATTGTAATATATTTGCATCAATATTTTAGATAGGGTAAAATCTGGCTATGCGTTATATGATTAACAATTCTTATTTATATGTCGAAACGTGCTTTCGGAAATCGCGGAACAGAAAACAGTATGAGAGAGATGAAGTATAATGAACGTTTTTTTAGAGAGTGTGAGAGAGGGAGAGAGAGACAGAGAGACAGACAGACAAGACAGAGAGAAAGAGAGAGAGAGAGAAAGTTGGGCGCATCGTTATATAGTATTAGTATGCTATTTTGGATCTCCTTTCACCCCCACCCCCCCCCCACCCCTCCCCCGTTCTGGATTCTTCTTGAGTTTCATTTGATCTTGTTTATATATTTCGCTACAGTATAATGTCCGACGTAAATTATAACAGTCAATTCAATTTGATGCAACAGAAATTTACATTGTAATATTTTACTTTGTATAAACTGTGTATTTTCTCACAAAATCGAGTATCAAAATAAAAAGAGATAAATAAGAAGAATAGGAAGAAGAAGAAGAAGAAGAAGAAGAAGAAGGAGGAGGAATAAGAGTGAGAAGGAAAAACAAAGAAAAGACGCGGAGGAGAAAGAAGAAGAACAAAATAAGGAGGTAGAAGAGGAAGAAAAGATAAAGAAGAACAAAACCCTACCGTACGGAAGAGCTGAAAGAACTTAGAGGTTGGAGCACGGCAGATTGCCAAATGATCTACGCATGCGCTAAGTTCCTGCTCGTCGAAGCGACTGGCCAGGCTTTAGCTCGGTCGAACGCACACGCATTGCGCCGCGCGCTGAACAGTCGCACGGTACAGCAGCGAAGGAGTCGAGTTTTCGATTTTTAATCTCGTTTGTGAGGTGGCTATCAGGCTAAACAATTTCGGAAGGAACGGGATATAAATCGCTGCACTCTTGGGCCCTCCACAGCTTAAAAGAATGTTGCAGTCTTTAGTTATTATTTGCTATACATTTTTGGGGAGAGCTTTTTCAAACTTTCCGAGAGGGGGACGATCCCCCTAAAATAAATGAGGGCGGACGTGCCCTCCCCCTCCCGTCCCCCGGGATCGCCGCCCCTGGTACAACTGTAAATTTATCTACCATTCCCAATTTCAAATTAATTATCATCAATATTCTGTTGAGAAAATACATAATCAAATGTTGATATTGGAGATTTAAGGGGAGATGACTATAAGTCACTGATAGATTAAAGTCAAATACCAACCTTCTTTGTAAAAGGGATAGTTCAGTTTTGATGCAGAGGGCGCTTCACAAAATAATGTTTAGGTGAGATAATGAAAAACTAAGTGACAAATTAAAAAATATATACAATTTAAATAACAAATCATCTTTGTTTGATAAAAATGGATTCAGAGACAGCTGGAATATTCAAACATATAACCACTTCTAATATTTGCGGTGCCCCACAAATAATTCGGTTATTTAGTCACAGCCATGAAAAACGAGATAGCGCATAGTACGCTTTATTCCAGCCAATGCCAATATCCACTTTTTGTTGGCCTTTTCGTGCTGGTTATAATACGCACAACCAGCCGGTCCGTGTATTGTTATGATTGATAATGATCAATTAACGGTCACGATATTATTTTGAAAGTGGAGCTGAATTGATCGTATTCAATTTAAAGTTACACATTGTGTGGTCTAAAATTTCCTTCAGAGCAATTTTAGGTTCTAAAAGGGCACTAGAAATGTCATAAATAAGAATGTTAGTGCAATAACCATGTACTTTGAAGGCATTTGTGGTCTTAAACATTACTTTAAAGAATATCATAGGCCTATATAAGCCGTTATTTTTTAATGATTAATGTATTATATTGCAACTAATGAAACCCGTCGAAATCCATGGACAGCTAGAGCAGATGAGAAATACATTTCGAAATATGAACATGTCAGCTTCATACAGATAAAAGAGAGAGGTAGAGTGAAGGAGGGACTGCATGCGGGACCACAGACCATACAAAACATTGTATGCTATACAATGTGCTTCAGAAAGTACATAAACTTTGAAAATTACGATCCCAGGGTCCGTAGGGCTATTACGATATTTCATGTATTCATTATATTGTAATGTGTTACCTTGACGTACTATACACGTTACATATTTACTGAATTGGGCAATTGGGCATTCACATATATATAAGTTACTTGTTCATTTTATCAGTCATAAGTGTAAGGCAGTGTGTACAAAAGACATGGGTAAAATCAACCTGTTGATATATGTTTTCAAAAAGATAAATTCTTGGCTTTATCATGATAATAATCTATTAATGAATTGTCTCATAAGGTTCCTTTCATATAGCAAACATTTGAAGAAATCCATGTATATCGGCATCATTATTTTTCATGAAATATATATCAACAGCAGCTTAACTTTCCCCATGCGTTTTGTGCACACTGACCTAACGATGAGGGCTCTATATCCACATTCGCTGTTTACGAAGAATGTGCTTTTTATCGTTTTTCCAAATTTGTGCTTTAATTTTGAATTAGCCTCTAAAGTTTAATTTTGTAATGCTACAAAATAGCCGAGCCAACCGTCTTCGTTTTGTTTGGAAATTATTAAGCTCGACTCCGCTAGTCACCATCATAGGCCATCTATGAAAATGCACATTCAGAGGCGGCGGGGGGGGGGGATTTTTCAAGTTATCCTTTTAAAAGTGCTTCTTTTTACATAGGAAAAGTGCCCCCATTTACTTCAGATAAGTGCCCCTATCTATTTCTTAAAGGTGCCCATTCAATATTGTTATTAGTGCCCCCTTCTCCAATGACAATTGCCGATAATCAAATCTGAGAGGTTTCCTTTTACTATAACAAGTGACCTTTTCGTTTGTAATAAGTGCCCCCTTCTCCTTCTTAAAGTGCCCTTGTGCATCTGATGAATGCCCCTTTCTAACTCTGATAAGTGTCCCCTTTCATATCGAAAATTGACACCTTCTTTTTTTCTAATAAACGCCATTTTTCCTTTTGATAAATGACAAATTATCTTTTTATAAGAGCCCCTTCCACTTCCCATGAATGCCCTCCTCACATCTTTAATAAATGCCTCTATAAAAATCGGAAAAGTGCCCCTTTCATTCGACAAGTTCCCATTTTACTTTGTAAACATTTCCCCTATTCATCTCAGGTGAGTGCCCCTTTTCAGGTACAAGAAGTGCCTCTTACCATCTTTGGTAAATGTCCCTTCACCTCTTATAATTGCCTCTTTTCAAGTCTGAAAAGTGTCCCTTATATTTTGACAAGTGTTTCTTTTCCTTTGTATGCCCTCTTTTCATCACACCCAACTGCAAAATATGATGATTAAGCAGTATCTTGGACCATGTAGTCTGTAGAAAGAGAAACAAATATTGAAAGCATTCCTGATAATGTAATCACAAAGAAGGGGTATATAAGAATTTATAAAAGTGGTACATTATCGCTTTTAGATTTCCCTTTGTAGGTGCCACTTTTTTTCCAGAAAGGGCCCCTTTTTTGTTGACCCCTCCCCTTCCCACTTTGAAAAACGCTCTGCCGCCGCTCCTGTGCACATTTGTTTACAGTGAGTGAACAGATGAGATGAATAAATTGGCGTTTCTGCTGTATATTATGTGCTATATAACACCTGATTTGGTTGTTTCTTTGTAGATCCAGCCAGGGGTGTCGAAAAACAGGTGGATAACGAAGCAAACGTGCAGACCTCAAAACTCAAACAGCTTAACTTAGACTCTTCATCTTCTGGACAGGTCGTAGAAGATGTTATTCGTGATTCCATGGAGGCATCCGATCAGCAACCAGGCTCGATTCGCATCGAGAAGTATGGCATTGAAGTCCAGTTTCATCCAAGTGAGATTTGGGGCGTTGATGACATCCAGGCAGTACCTGAAGTTCCAGCTGAACTGGCAGACTTGTTAACAGAGGACCAAGCAATCATTTGTGTTGGTCTTAAGGCGTCATCGTCTAATGCAAAGTTTAAATATCCAGTAAAAGTGACGATGCCCCATTCAGCAATTTTCACAAGTCCGGATTCTGCATCTATTGGGACTTACCATCGAAAAGGATGTAAGAATATTTACAGTTAACAACTAAATTATTCATAACCTCACCAAGTTTCTCTTATTTCTTAAGTATGTGAAAGTTGAATTGTCCTGATTTATGTTTCTTGAGAATCGTTTTATATGTAAACATGTTACATTTGACAAAACCACATGTTATTGTTAAGTTAGGAAAAACACAAAAAGCATTAAATTAACAAGGAGTATTATTAAGTTACTTGTTACTTGCAAGTCTCTGTTCGGACGCATGTAATCACCCATAGCAACATCGAGTGATAAGTTTAAGCGTGCTTCATTAACATAAACAGAGTCCAACTTCTCAAAATTGTCGGTTCAATTTAGGGTTTGACCCCAAATGCAACGATAGAGTTTTAATATGAATGGATGCTCCGACCCTCTAAACCGACACTATAATAACATCTATATGTTGGATGTATTATCTTTTAAAGCTATTCCAACGTAATGGCTAGTGAGTACCTTTTTCTTTTCTTTTTTTTTTTCTTTTTTTTTAATATTTTTTTTAAATTTATTTTTTTTTATTTTTTATTTTTTTATTTATTTATTTATTTATTTATTTTTATTTTTATTTTTATTTTATTTTTTTATTTTTTATTTTTTTTTTTTTGGGGGGGGGGGCTGGACAATTTGAAAAATCGACCCCCGCCCCCCTTGAGCGCCAGGGGGGGGGTTTCTCTGTCTTCTTGTTTATTTTATTTTATTTTATTTTATTTCTGCTCTTTTCCAAATGTAATAACTGAATAATAAAGAACATATAAACGTATAATACACAATTAAAAAAGAATACAAATTTCATGTCAAAACGTTTTGTTTACTTATGTTCATATAGTAACGAAACCTAATATTTCTAGAACATATTATTATAAAGTTTAAGTGTTATCCAAACTATCTGTTGAAAAAGTGCAGGAGATCGCAATCATAAGCGATGATTGACTAGGATGACGGCCTCAAATACAAATATTAAGGTGAAACTTAAAATGAAAATGAAGTGTAAATAAACGTTCTCCTTCTTCCATTCTTAATGTTGTTGTTTTTATTTTGGTTTCAATTTAATGCCATGTAATTTTCTTGCTTATGTAAAGTGTAAACTGTATATTATGTATAAGTTTGGGCTACTTTCTTTTCATTGTACATGCATATTCTTTTTATATCATAACAAAATCAGCCCGAACCAGGATACGTGACACCGATAAAGGGAGAAGAATATTTTGTGGCATGGCGTTCTGGCGATCTTAAAGTAACCTGTCAGGTAGACGACACGGACATATACACCAAGGCAAGTTAATAGAATGCTTTAGTTACAAAGAGAAACTAATTCAAAATTCACTGATTGATTTGTTGGCTATTCAGAGCAATGTATTTGTTTGGTAGGTGTGTTGTCGGTCTGTATGATCGGCCCATAGCGTATTGAGAAACATAGTTGTGGCACGCGAAAAAATAACCAAGTGACAGGGCTCCAACTAAATCCCTCCAACATAAAATCTCTCTATATAGAAGGGAACTTATTTGGAACTCCATGAATTAACATTTGATCGCGAACTTGTGCGCGTGTCACACCTATCTCTCTCAATACTGTGACGGAGGTATATACTAGAGAGGGAAAATAAGTAGGTATACAAGCAATTTTTCTCGCCGTAACAGTTGAATGAAAAGTTTACATTACAATTAAAGTTACTCGATTATATTACCTGAATATGAATGTTTATCTATCCTGGCAAATATATGCAACATTTCTTACCAAATGTGTATTAATTTGATATTGCGTATCAATTGAATAATACTAATAATAATACTGTTTATTTACCATGGCTCGACGATAGTGTGTCTGCGTATTTGGTTGCCAGCAGACGTGGGTGTGCGTTGGATTACTCAAACATTTTAACTCATAGCATTCCATGAGGCTGCGTGCACGCTACCGTTATAGGGCTTTGTACATGCGGGCTAACCACTGATTAACTGCCATGTGCGTGCTAGCACGCATAGCACGCATTCGTAATAACGGTTATTGTGCATGCTTATTGGACTGTGCTGTGTGTTTCGTATGCGCTATTCATAGAACCATCACTTGAATCAGATAATCTCCAAAACAACCTGGCACGGGGGGATTTGGGGCTTGGCACAACGGGGATTAGCCCTGTGGCATGATAAGAAACAATTTATTTGTTATAGGATGATACCTACGGGGTCTAATAGAGACACATGTAACACCATTACTGTAGCCTATCTGTAGAGGAAGAGATCATCTTTAATCACGCAAATCGTTTAGGTAATACTATCTAATTCATGGGCATGACGGGTATACATTTAATGTGTATCTAAAAATGTTATCCTATGTCTTTCTTAACAGAAACAACAGGAAACTCTGTTTCATAAATCACTTGAGGTCAATGTACGGTTCGTCGTTAACACTTCAGCCGCTGACCAATCTAAAGTCTTCGTTCAGTTCATCTTGGAACAAAGCGCAAAGATAGAAATTATTTGTCCGATGAATCTGTCAGGTAAGTGTTCATCGCTTGAAAACATATACATGTAGGCCCCTAGCTTAGCTTTCAGCTTCATAACGGAGAAAAGAAGAAGGAGAAGGAGGAAGAAGAACAACAACATTTAGTATACAGTAGATTTGCGGGAGCACCATGTGAGAGAGAGAGAGTGTTGAGGAGTCCTGAAAAGGACTCTGACTCAGTAATCTTTCTTGGGGGTGTGGTAGTCCTCAAAAGGACTGTTTGTTATCTTTCGTAGCATATAGTTCTAAAGGGAAATATAGCGCTTGGAGAGGATGAATGATAGTCAACCTGTTCGAAACGTCGAGCCATTCATCCTCTCCAAGCGCTATAGTTCTCTTTAGAACTATATGCTAAGAAAGATAACAAACAGTCCTTTTGAGGACTACCACACCCCCAAGAAAGATTACTGAGTCAGAGTCCTTTTCAGGACTCCTCAACACTCTCTCTCTCTCTCTCACATGGTGCTCCCGCAAATCTACTGTATATCTACATCACCATGCAAGCCGACACTTACAAGCAACATTTAGTAGTATACATGTTAATCTCATCAGCTGTTCAAACGTTTAAACGACAGGAATTAGGTTTCGGAAACAAATACAAGAAATTGTAAAATGTTAACAAATTATAAAATCGTCCCAAGAAAATATGTCAGGCAAATATTACAGTTGGAAATAACAATGGAATTCAGTATTTGATATACAAATATATTTAGGAAAAAGGAAACACCAACGTGGAACAGTGTTTCGTTTTTTTCTTCTTCATTTCTTACTATAGGGGACCACGTGACACCAAGGGCAAAAGGAACTCAAAAGTAGGTCTATTTTTTTATTTTATTTTATTTCAAAATGTTCTATTCCGCTGCTGATCTTGTCCTGGGCGTAAATCTGCTGACCTTTTCTGTACTTTATTTTTGACCACTTTCTCTGATTTTAAGTTGGGTCTGTTGTGCGACTTTGGTTTTCACAGAGTGGAATTTTCTTGGCTCGGGCAATTTATTTGCGCACTGGTGTTTTCTTCTCCATTTCATTGTCATTTAACTAAGTGACAGTCTTGTAGATAATCACTAATTTGATTGGTTTGAACAGTTTGAAAGGAGCCTCATGAGAAAATGCGTTGGTTTGTTTATGATATTATGACAGTATATAAATTATAGTAGCCTATATATTGTTTGTCACATAACTATGCTCTACATGTAGAGCTTATATAACACTTTCGTCACCTTTAGACAGGCTGTAAATTGACCACAGTTAAATTTGTCTAATGAATTAACTATTATCATTGAAAAACTTTTTGCCATAACCAGCTGTAGGCCTACATATTAGTGTTGAAATCACAAACTAAATCGTTGTCTCTCCTTTAATCTCAGGCCTACCGACTCAACAGAAGTAACAGATATGCATTTGCTAAGAATCTCACAGGAACTCCTTCCGGCTCATTTCTCTGCTCTGCACCTTACTCTGGGGATCAAACCAAGTATTGCACAAGGTATCCTAACGCAGAAGATAAATGACTATCCAGATACATACATGCACCTTCTGCAGCTGTGGAAGACAGAATCCCATAGGACCCTGAGAGACCTAGACCAGGTTCTTGTTGAGTCTAAGGCTGGTGGTCTTAAATCCAAGTATAAACAAGAGCAAAAGTAGAACATCTAATTACACTGTTTTGTTGACAGTGAAGGTGCCTGCTCATTTGTTTGCTGCAGAAGAAATTGTGAGATTTCTTTCTTCTTCTTCTTCCCCTACCAGTATAATACTGACCGCCGTTGGAGTTGTAATACTCTATGTGCAGCTAAAACAGAGTTTTAATTCATATTTTTATTTGAAATATGTTAATGTGTTCGTGATGATTGTGGTGGTTATTTTTGGTTATTTTTCCTGACAGCTAAGATTATACTTTATTAAACTGATTATCATAAATATCATATTACCACTTCAAATTATTTACTATGATGTACATGAAGTAAAAATAACTACTGAACTTTTTACTGCTAAAAGTTTATAGGCCATTAAGTCAGGCCTTATACTGCATCTGATATGCTGATACTTGTAGTTTTTATTTGCTAATGCTATTGATAAGGTTTAACAAATTACACTGTGTTATTGTTAATACGAAATAATTAACGTTTTTGTGAAAATGTGAATGTATTGTATTTGTTTTTTAGGCATATGTAACTATTTTGTAAAAGTTTATGCAAACTGGATGTATAAAATTGTAAAGTTGAAGTGAGCGAAAGCTTGACTTCCTTCAGATTGGATGCCACTTCATAAAAGTCACTATTTTGAAGAAAGTTTTGTTTAAATGTAACTTTTAGGACATTTGTCAAGGTATCGCACGAAGTCATTATAGACTAATGAAAGTCTTGTGCAACATGAGAGTTGGATGGTAACATTCATGCATGTTGATTTAGCACAGTGTAACTGGTGTCGACCTGTGAGTAAAATTAAGGGTTCTTCTGTAAATGTTGTTTAAGGGTTCTTCTGTAAATGTTGTATCTATTTATGCCAAGATGATATTTGATGAGGTAACATGCATCGTTATCATTTAGAGAAGGTGTTAAACTCAAATCGGTTGACTCACAAGCGTTAATGCCCTTTTGGCTCTGAACAGACGATGTAAATTACAGAAACACAGTTAATGTTTTACAACAGTTCCATTAAACACTATTCACGACAAATTATAAAGACCAGGCCTCTATTCCGAACAAAAGTTTTGTGATTGGTATTGTCAATTCCTAGTAACCCTCTCCCCTCCATTGAATCAAATACACTGCCAAGTTAAAATACTAAATAGCAAATTTGTTTTACCTTTGTAGTATGACCCATTTATATCTATACTTTTTGTAATCTTCCCTCCTTATATATCCCTAAGCAATTTGTAGGAAATAAATTGTGTATACACTAATAACTTTGATTTGATATTTCTGTATCGTATTATAAAAGGTTACAAAACACATTATCAAGAAACCATGGTCGAAAGAATATATATGGGAACTTATTGTTAAAGGTATAGACCGGTAGTGGTAAAATTGCAGTTCAAGGGTTTTGGGTGCAAACTATCCATTAAATATTGTTTAAATATTGCCTTCAGATTTAGATGGCAAAACTTAAACCTAAATTCGCAAAAAAGCTGAAATATATGGCCCAAATATTCAGTGATGAAGTGCATATCTATATCATTCGCGATATCTGTCCAGTCCGGATCGATATGATAATTTACCAAATATATCAATTAGTAGGCGGTTTCCCGGGAAAATATTTATCATCACGTATTAGTCGAAACATTTTCCTTCACATGATTGGCAATAAGAGCTTCCATTTCATTTTGTGAGAGGGGGCGTCATCTCCGAAACTGGTCTATACTTTTAACAGGTGAGCTTGCTCTGTCGAACACCTCATGAATCCACGTTTCTAGTTAATGGTGATGGATATTCAAGTGAAGTTACTTTAGCAGTATTAGTATCAAAACATAATCAAAGAAATCCAACACAGCAAAGCTCAGCAAAAGACGATTTGATAAAGAAAGTGTGACCATGAATTGGATAGAAGCAACTAACGATCTCATAATAGTAGGGCAAACAGAGAGGGCGCTTTTCAAATTCAATTGGGTTAATTAATTTGTTAAATATGTTATTAATGGTTATATGTTTCAAGATTGATTCTAAAAATACTTCATAATATTAATTATCATTCTACGAAGTTTGAATCATTAATTCAAAGGGGGGGGGGGGAAATAGAAATTAACATCTCAAACAAGACGATATTATCTTTTGGCTCTGTAAACGTATGTACTTACTCATTTTTTGAGCTCGGAAGAAGCGTAGTCCGCGACAGATGTTGTACAAATATTTTGACTCATGAATTTTGATAACGCCAAGAAGTGTATATTATGCCATTTAGTTTAAGGTAAAATTGGCATAGCACTTACACTTTTAAAAACCTTTCTGCCCCTCTGATTATTGTGTAAATCCATACTCTAATTTAACCAAGTATGTTGCATGTATCCCTGATTTCGATATAAAACTGGCAACAAAAAAAAAAAAAACAAAAAAAACAAAAAAAAAATTCTTCATGAAAGGTGAAAAGGGGTTAAATTTGTCTGTTCATTGACATATTAGTTTATTTTTTTCTATTGCAAGAAGTTTGAAAAATTGAATGCGTCTAAGCAAACTCTTCCATTCTTGAACTGATGTAAAAATTAATGTATTAATTGATTCAATTGGATGAAGTCTTTTCATTCTAGACACAAAAGTCATGATGCTAACACACGCTTTTAGAATACGAAACAAAGATAAGTACTAGTATTTTGAGAAAAAGCCAACATAATTCTGGTTATTAAGCGTCGTTCATTCGTTTCTTGCATCTCTGGTTTAAGCTAGACATGGAACACTTTAATGAAAATAGTTTTCTGTTTTTGTTGAGGACCAAGTGTTTCATGTGAAAAGAAGATTTGACACCGGCACGACCACGGCGGGATGGGGGGGGGGGGGGCACTAAAAAAGCGCTTAAGCAAATTATTCAAATGGTAGATTCTTGACATTGAAGATAGTGATAAGTATGAATACAACATTTGACTTTGTTATAAAGTAAATGAATGGGAAGGATTCCAATTTCTTTTAACCATTTAATAGAACACTCCTGTTATATCTCCTCATATTAAATCTTATCGCCATATATTTTATCCTGTTGAGTTTTATCTTCTTAATAATGTGTATATACGTATTATATTCTTCAAGTATGTCTAATAAAATTCTTATTTTGCGCAGTCACTAAATGGCATTCTCTTCTGATTTTAAAAATGGGGAGAGTGGGGGACTATAGTTCTACGATTCTGAAGGTTCAAACACAGCAGCTAATGGTGTCAAGCGAGTCGACTCTACATTTAAAGGGCTCACACGTGTATTTATTCACTAGTATGTTCTACTTCTATTACTATCAATGCTTACACTACTACTACTAATACTACTACAACTACTACTACTTCTTTTACTATACTACTATTACGCTACTAATATTATTGCATTGCTACTACTACTACTACTACTACTACTACTACCACTCAGGGGCGGCGAAGTATCTTTCAAAGTGGGGGAGGGGGGAGGTGGTTTACCAATAAAAAGTTATTTTCTGGAGAAAAAAGGTGCATCTACAAAGGGAAACCTTACAGCGAAAATATACAATTTTGTGCCATTAGTATATAAACCCCTACATAGTGATTACACTGTCTGGGATGATTTCCATATTTTCTCTCTTTGCATGGTTCAAATCACTGCTTAATCATCATAATTTGCAGTTGAGGTTGATGGTCTGAATATTCATTTGCGAGCGAGGAAACATTTAAAGATATGCGAAGTCGTAGTGCGTAAAATTACATCTTATAAAGAGGGAAAAATAAACAATCCTGATGTGTTTATGACAGGCTTAAAAGACCTTAAATAAGAAACATAATTATATAAACTATAAATGCAGGCGAGCAAGCTTTGGGGAAATCAAAGAAAAAACAAAAACAAAAAAACAACGTCGCTTTGAATTGGTGGCACATATTTGTATGGTAAAACGGAAAGGGGGAACTTATCCAAATGGCAGAGATCACTTATTCAAACAGAAAAGGAGCACGTGTCAAATTAAAAAAGGGATATTATCAGAAGAATAAAAATGGGGCACTTCTTGCACCTGAAAAGAGGTGAAAAAGGGACTAATGAGAATGGAAAAGAGGCATATAGTACAAAGGAAAAGGGGCACTTGTTAAAATAATGGGGGCACCTCTAATATTTGTAAAGGGGCAATCGTGACGTTTGAAGGGGGCACTTATTAGAGGTCAGAGGTGGTAAGTGGCACTTATAAGAATGTGGAACGGGCAAAAGAATGGGGCACTTTTCCTATGTAAATATTGGCATTTTCGGGTACTTGAAAATGTGGAGGCGGGTTGGATGATGATTAATATACTACTTATACTACTGCTGCTACTACTACTACTACTACTGCTACTACTACTATCACCACCACCACTACTACTACCACTACTACTATTACTTCTTTTATGCTAGTACTAATTCTTCTAGCCTACTACTAATACATTTTATTACTACTACTACTTCTACCACCACCATTACCACCACCACCACCCCCACCACCACTACTACTACCACTGATAGTACTATTTATTCTTATTATTATAAATCTTTAATAAGTGAGCTGCAAATGTGCATCGTCAAACCTTGGACCGAGGCCATCTTGCTTTCCAAGAAAATTCATTTTCCCCTTTCAAACATATTTTCAATTTTGTTTCTCTCTTTTCTGAAACCATATTAACAAGAAAACTGTAAAATGACAATCATGCCGAGGCAAGCATTGAACATTACGGATTGTTCCTTTAAAATAGCGTCCGCGATGGTACGCAGCCTTAATCTTAGTCTTATTCGAGACACAAATATACACATTAGTTATTCGAGACCCGACTGTACACGCCGTGAAACGCACGGAAAGAATAAAATCATGGAAAGAAGTAGATATGACGTAACAAATTCCTTCTACCCTGCAGAAATGCGTAGTATTGGAATAAGAAGTGATTTTTTTTCTCAGTCGATCAAGGTTGACTGTGTTCATATGGCGGGAGGCTGATAGACTAAACTACTCTGAAAAGTAAT